TGTGCTCACATCTACGTGAGTTAACGAACTTCAGTTGAATCCAAATGAATTAATTTTAAAAATTTATTAAACATATTTTATATATTAATCCATTTTTTCAAATTAAAAATGTATGACATCTCCCGTCAAATTTCAGTTTTAAAACTTTTATATTATATCATATTTACATATTTTTTTACAACCTATAATGTATAACAGTTTTCCGTTAAATTACAATTATTTTTAAAAAGAACATAAAAAATAAATAAAATTTATAGATAAAACTATTGTATATTATTTTCTATATTTATTTAATGAATGAAATTTATTTTAGATGAATTTATTTTCTAATTTGTATTTAAAAATATAACTTAATTGTCATTTAAAACAGTACATTCAATTCTTTAACTTCAATTATCTCGTAAGTCATAGATACATTTATTCTACCCGTGAATTTATTTCATGTACTCAGTTGGTTAATATTAATATAATTACAATATATAATCATTTATCAAATTTGAATTTCTCATTTATAGAAATAATTTTAAATTATTCTCGTTTATAAAAATGAACGCGTGTGTCTATTTATAAAAATATATAAAACTTATACTCTTTTATAAATATAATTGTATCAATACTTGAATTTTTCCGGTTTATAAAAATATTTATAATTTATTCATGTTTATAAAAATTATTATAATTTATTTTTAGTTTGTAAAATTAATTATATTAATATGTAGACTTTTTCTCGTTTATAAGTGTCTTTAACCCGTGTGACAATTTATAAAAATATTTTAACTTATTCATGTTAAAAACAATTACATCAATATTTAAATTTTGTTCGTTTATAAAAATATTTGTAAGTTATTTAAGTTTATAAAAATAATTGTAAAAATAAATATTTACCATATCATCTTAAATTTATTTATTCAACAGTGATAAATATGTGTCTCTTAGTTAATTACATTTATAAATAAATATCGTGTATTAGTGATATATATTAAATTTATTATCTTAATGTCTAACTAATTAAAATGAATTTATTATTGTCAATCAAAAATTATAATATTAAATAATAATATAATATTATTATTATATACGGGAAAAAGAATAAATTAAATCTAAGAATATCGGAAAATTTATTATAATATTAAATAATAATTTAACATTTATTATTACAATGAATCATATATAACATTTCAAAATTATGTATTTATTTCTTATGTTTTATTATATTCGATTTGTAATAAATATTTTTCAGTTTATTGCGAATTTTCAATAATTAAATATTAATGATATTATATAAAATTAATTTCATGAAATAAATTTATTTAATAAAGTATTATATAAATATTTAATACATTATATTATACCATTAATTTATATAAAATGATATTAACTTATTCCTGTTTATAAAATTATTGTAACTTTTTCCCGATTTATAAGCATGTTGAATTCGTGTGTCAATTATTAAAATATATGTAATTTATTATTATTGATATAAATAATTTTATAAATAGTTTAATTTATTACATTTATAAAATTATTTGTAATTTATTCACCTTTATAAAATTAATTATAAATTATTTAATTTATTAAAATGATTGTATCAATAACTTTTTATTTTATCATAAATTTTTATGATTATCATTTATCATTAAATTTTCATGATTACCATTTAATATTTTTTTATCATGATTACAATTATAAAGTTAATTTGAAAAGATTATGATATGTTTTAGTTATTTCATAAACTTAAAAAAATTATCAAATCTCAATTGATTTTGTTTTGTTTTATTAACCTTTTTTATAGAAATTGAAATAATTTATTTTATGTCAAATAAGAATCTAAATAATTACAAAATAATATTTATTCTTACATTTATAGAATGATAAATTAAATATTTAAGATAAACATTATAGTTCTTATTTACTTTATCTTTTATATATTTATAATATACTTTTTTGTTAATTTTATTAACAATATTATAGTTAACAATACATCCTTTAAACTACGTTATTTTTTTCAATAATATAAATGTAACCTTTCAAAAAATATACACAAATATATTTAGAAGTCGGTAGAAAATTTTATTGGTTAAATTATAATTCCATTCAAAATTTATTGATCATAAATTTTTGAAATCAAATCATGCATAAAAATAAAATGTATTAATGTGACCATTCAAAATATTTTCTATGAAACAGTATCAAACCTATAATATTAAAAGAGAATTCAAATTTTATTGATCATAATATTTTATGGAATCAAATCATATATAAAAATTAAATATAATAATGTCTCCATTCAAAAGATATATTGGTAAAGTATCGAATTAAATGGTACTCCAATATTTAATTAAAAAATTGTAATATTTGTTTTTAATATTGTATAAAAAATATATTAATTAGTCATCTATTGGTAAAATATATTAATATATTTGTTTTTAACATTGGAATTCAAATATAAATAAATTAACCGTGAATGAAACATTGGAATTGGAATTCAAATATAAATAAAATTCAAATATAAATAAAATAAATTAATAAATCAAATAAATAAAAAATAGTATAAAATTATGATAGATTGACATGTCAGCAAAATTAAATGTTTGAGTCGTTGATGTCTTTCACAGCTTCAATCGGTCGCGTCATTGATGTTACTATTTAGATCTGTTACAAAATCTGTATTAAAATGGACACAGAGAATCAAAATATGAGAATGAAGAAGAATTGGAAAATAATACGTAACCTTTTGAAAATAATGGAGAATGAAGAAGATTGAGGAGTGAAAAAGTAAGGGTTTAGAATGGCTATATATAGGGTTTAGAATGACTATATATAGGGTTTAGAATGAAGAAGATTGAGGAGTGAAAGAGTAAGGGTTTAGAATGACTATATATAGGGTTTAGAATGGCTATATATAGGGTTTAGAATGCATGAGAAGTTGTGATATCTTGGAATATCAAAATAATCCATTCTAATTCCAATAATATACATTTAATCTTGTAGTGTAATGATAAATAGTGGGTATTTTTAAATCATGCAATGAATAATATTCCATTAATTATAATAGATCTAATTTGGTCATTTCAATTCCTTCCTCATTAACCGTGAGTCAAACATTAGAATTCAAATTCTGTAAAAAAAAAACATTGGAATTCAAATATAAATAAATTAGCCGTGAATGAAACATTGAAATTGGAATTCAAATATAAATAAAATTCAAATATAAATAAAATAAATTAATAAATCAAATAAATAAAAAATAGTATAAAATTACGATAGATTGACATGTCAGCAAAATTAAATGCCAAATGAATATGATAACAGCATAGTGTTGATTAGTCTATTATACCTTTGGAATAAGAAAAGTTATAACATCTAATCAAAAGGTTAGACTTGGAATTTTCAGGTACTTTACTTTTAATAAATTAATAATAGATTATATTTATAATCTAAAATAACAAATATTTTAGAATAAATTTTTTCTTAAATGTGATATTTATTCAGAGACCGATGAATGTCATTTTTGTCTCCCTCATAAAGTGGAACAAAAATACACTTAATAAAAGTTCTACAACGTTAGAAGAAAAAAAAAAGACAAACCGTAAAAACACTTAATAAAAGTTCTACAACGTTAGAAGAAAAAAAAAAGACAAATCGTAAAAACATGATTTCTTGAGTGGAACGCCAATAGACCAAACCAAAGCGAGTCAAGTTTCCATTATGCGTATGTTTCGGTTCAGCTAATATTTTTAGTTATAATGTCTTATAATAGAAATATTTTGTACTTTAACAAAAAAAAAGAGACATTTAATCAAGCACTTGAACTTTACTGATAAAAAAACTACTGCAAAAAAAGATATTTAGAAAATACAAAGTTTGATTCCTAACAAAAAAACAATAATTAATTAGTACTCATATTTAAGTTCATGAATTTTAGATTAATAGAACGCCTTTTTCCTATAAACCAAAATATAAAAGCAAAAAAAAAAAAATTGATAAAAAATTAATGATCAAATATTTAATTTATCAATAATAAAAAAACAGGAGGTTTAAATTACTCACAGTAATTCTTTATAGCAATATTTTTTTTGACTTAGTCATAATTATCATTAAATCATTAATGACTAAATATATAAAAGTATATATAAACTATTTTTTATTTAATTAATATTTATTTATATTTTTAATACGAAAAAGAATTATTTATATTTTTACATAATTTTTTAAATAAAATTAATGACTAAAAAATAAAATCATATTTTCATTAAATACACAATTTATTTCATTATTATATTATAATATTTATCCTAGTAAAAACACTGTAATTTAATTTTTTATTTTGAATTTATGTTTGTTTTATTTGATAAAAAGAAGTGGCGTTTTTAATATGTACTCATTCATTTAGAATAATAAAAACATGTTTTAAAAAAAAAATTTGGACATTAAATATTTTAAAAATGTTATATTCACCAAATATCTAAAAAATAAATTAAATTACTATTTTTATATATGTTTTTTTTACAAGTTTTTTATATATGTTTATGGATTTAATTGAAATATATTGACATTGAAAAAACAGTTATACATTATTAGTGAATTATAATTCGTAAATTTTTAAAAATATTTAATTTTAGTTTTAACTTTTTTTAAATAATAAAATAGAATAATCATTAACGGTATAAAAATATTTTCAGTGACAGTGGATAGCCATTAAACAAACTATATATAACACTCATAAGTTACATAACAAGTGATTTAAGGAGTAATAATTTGGGGTAAGGATCCTCTGCCGTGACTTTACTGTCCAGTGGGATCACAGCCACTAAAAGTTGTGTTCAAAATATAATAAAAAAATATGTATTAGCTTTTAAAGGATGGGATTTAAACTGCACCATGTCCAGTGAAAATTTCACCGGAGATAATCCTTACCCAATAATTTGTGTGTGATTATTATGCTCTGAATTGGGAGTGGAAGAGTCTCTGTATTGGGGTTTCTTTCTCCGGTTTTTCCTATGGATCTTCATGCCGATTCTCCCAATTTCGGGATGAAGAAACGAAAACAAGACGAACAGGTAACCCTTTGATTTCCTAACTGCTTTTCTCTTAATCACGATTTTTCAGGGTTTTATAATTGATCAAATTCCATGCTTTCATGCTTTGTTTGTTTGATTTTCATCTCTTCGTGTTTTGATATCTTGATCTTCGTTCTTGATCGTTTCAATTTCGTTAATTTGTGTGTTTTCTTCTTCCCTTTTGAAGAATTCGTTTTTTTTTTCCTTTGTGATTTAGTTTTTGTGTTTAGGGTTAGGTTAGGTTATTAGAATTAGGGTTTGAACAATTCTTATAATGTCATTAAAATTTTGTCTTTGGCATTTTATGATAAAAATTAGAAATAGAATTTTGTTGTCGAAATTGATACTATAAAAGGAATAGGGTTCGTCGCCTATAAAAAATTTTAACTTATCATTTGATGCGTGCTACTTGATGTTATTAGTGACAGTATAATTTCCAGTGTCACCAAATTTCAAATTTAGTAAGCAGTTGTTTGATTTGCGTTTCGCATGCATGTCTCGCGTTCCAATTTTTGTTTTACGTGAAAATTGAAGAAGCTACTGATAGTAGCTTTGTTGGTTGCGCGTAAAAAGTCTTTTTGACGTGGTTCCAAACACACAGTAAGCATACAATCAGAAGTATAAAGCTTACTATGTTCATTGTGCTTGTGTGACAGCATGCCTGTAGGCTGTAGGTTAGGAGTAACCGTTATTTTTTATATTGGGAGCTTAGTTTGAAAGTGATAAATCTTATGGGAGCGGTATTAACTGCTGGGCTATTCAACTAATTATCACATTGTGGCAGAAGTCATTTCCTGTGTTAATCCTGCATTTTATGCTATTAGATGCTGGATTTTGGCATAATTTAGGTTGGATGTTGAGAATAGTATATTGGAAAGAAAAGGGTGCCATTCAATGAATAAGTTGAAATAAGGTCAGGGTGTAGAAGTAAAACTATTTAAGTTATTATGATCTTGCTGTGCATGATGAATTCATATGCTTAACATGACCTTAAAAGCTTTACTAGGGTGTTGACTTTTATCTGTTTTCTTCTTTTGCCAGGATGCTTTGGTCAGTGATCATGGAAATTCCATGAGTGTAGGAGAATCATCTGGTAGTGGTGACCCCTGCAAGAGTTTGACCTCGACATCACTGAGTTCAAAGAATTCAAATGGTTCCGATTCTGATATTTCATGTCATGACGATGATGAGGATATGATTGATGATGATGATGATGTACTTGAAGATCCTGATTATGGATCTGATTTTTATGACGAAGATGACATCTATGAAGATGACTATTCACTTATGCAGGATCAATTCGACAATTTGCCTCCTGGGATAGAAGCTTCAGTACCTTGGTTGAAGGATATTGCTTCTAGTGAATGCAAGCCGGCTGTTGCTCATGTCCCTTCCGAGTCCAGTTCGAAAGAAAAAATAGATGAACCCACGGACACCGTCATGCAAAAGTTTCGTCAATTTAAGTCATTTGATACTGTTGATTCTTTTCCTGATCATCACTATGATCATCACTATGATAAGGAAGGTGCTTCAGTCTCAGAGGCACAGGTAATATACATATATGTTGAAAAAGTTTTTCTGAGTTGCATCTGCAACACATATTTTCAAGCCCTTGATTTAACAGAATCTTGATCCTATTATATGTTAGTTACAGCGACCAAAGAATTGGGCAAAAAAAATCCAGGACGAATGGAAAATCTTGGAGGAAAATTTGCCAGGTAAAGTATTTGGTCTCTCTCCTTCCCCCTAGAGATATTCATAATTATAGCTAATAGCTAATATACAAGTTATTATGTGTTAGTGTCATGGTTTTTTTCCAGATATATTTTGGAAGTGTCTTCTCCTTTGCCTTATATTTTTTCAGTTTTGCTAATGGAGAATCGATAATTGCATTCTTTAAAATCTTTTGGGAGAAGTTAAATTAAATCATCCTTCAATATCTTTTTGCATGATCTAAACATTTACCACTGTCTAATGAAACATGATATGCAACCTTATGGTAATTTAGTTTCATTTTTGCTGGAATATGTATCTCATAATTTACTTTTTGTTTTACAGAAACAATCTTTGTGAGAGTTTGTGAATCTAAGATGGAGCTTCTTAGGGCTGTCATCATTGGACCTCAAGGCACTCCATACCATGATGGCCTTTTCTTTTTCGATTGCTTATTTCCTTCTTCATATCCCACAGGTCCACCGGTATGTATCATTAATGTTCAACGTGTTTTCAGATTTGTCTTGTGCTGTGTATAATATAAACTCAACTTATTTTCTGCAGAAAGTTCACTATCACTCAGGTGGCCTAAGGCTAAATCCAAATTTGTATCAATGTGGAAAAGTGTGCCTTAGTCTCCTGGGTACTTGGCATGGTAAGAATAGCGAAAACTGGATTCCAGATAAATCAACCATGCTACAAGTCTTGGTTTCTATACAAGCTCTTATTCTGAATGAGAAACCTTTTTTTAATGAGCCTGGATATGCTAATGCATATCTTGGCGAGGAGGGGCAAAGGAGATCTAAGGATTACAATGATAATACTTTTATTTTATCCTTGAAGACAATGATGTATGCCCTACGTAAACCGCCAAAGGTCTGTCCCTCAAACCAATATCTATGTCTGCGAAGAGTTTTCTTTTAATAGTTTTACTATTATTTTTTAAAAATTACTCTCTCCATCCCTTTTATAAGTTCATTAAAAAAATGGTGGTTTGATTAATATGTGCATTTTTTTCATGAGTATTACTAAATTGCGGTTTGTGTATCTGTATTAAATGTTGACTTTTTATCTTCAGACATATTAGTACTATTATTTAGGGAGATATTTGGGGGAAAAGGTAAAAAATGCATCTAGTAATTTGAAAGATGGCTTTATATTTAGGGACAATTTCTTTTTCTTTTTCTTTTTCTTTTCAAAGTGTGCTTATAATAGAAACCCAAATTAGAAGAAAGATAACGAAACATCCTTGTCCTCAAGTTTGGGAGTGGTTTCTATTGGCCTTCTTGTAGCTAGGAGAAACATTAATTTGTTAGAGAATGAAATAGGATTGTACTTGTTGAGGGAACTGACAATGAACATCAGTCATGCCCATATACTTAAAGACCAAATTCCATTTGCAATAATGTTTGCCAGTGTTGTTACTTGAGGATCTGAATACACAAAAGGAGTAGCAATAAATGGGAAGTTGTTGATAGACTCTTTTCCATCCTTGAGATCATCAAACAGGGTTCGTAGAACAAACTATGCATACACTGGACGCGCTCGCGGCGAGATCATTGAATGGACTTGTGGCGAAATCATTGAATGGACAGGAGGAGTTTGCAGCGATGACGGTACACAAAAGGAAGATTGCGGCAGCGGGAGTGACATGTTTGTAGCTCACGACTGCAACGAAGAGCCTGTCGTACGCAGACTCGGGTCAGATTCGACCTCAGCTGTCTCTTGATTCAGGACCTATAAGATGAGTCCTTGAATTAGTAAATTTGAGTTACCTTTGTCCTCAACCCAGATGTTATTGATTGCTGGGGCCCAGTCTATTTGTTCTAATCCAGCCCAAATGGTAAATATCTCTGAGATCAAACCAACGTTGGGTCTGGCCCGTTAGGTTTAAATGTGTACCAACCTCTTGAATTTTCCATTGTGCTTTTCTTACATGCCCGAAGGTAAACTTTGGAAGAACGATATGTGGTTGTTCGTTCCCGTGATACCCCTGGTGACTCCACAACCACCACATGTGGAAAGGTTTTCTTGATTGAAATTTTGCATAACATCAGAAAGGTTTTCATTGAATGATAATGAAAAGTATTACAAGAGGATATATCCCGCAACCCCAAAACAATGCTCCTCAGAGGAAATTAGGATTCTCTGCCCAAGCTTAGAGTCGAAAACTATTTCAAAGACTAACTGACTCCCTTCTTCCCTCTGACACACCTCATATACTCCCTCTCACATGTATTTTCTCTCACTCTCTATTTTGGCCTTTCTTTGAATGGGTCCTATCAGCTTATAAATAGGGACAGAGGCAGTATAAATCATAATTCCTGACTGAATTTCATAGTTAGGTTAGATGAATTTCATATCTGGGCTTTTGCCAGTTTGTCTCTTTTCTCTTGTTTTAGCTCATTATATTGGACTGGTTCGGTTACATATTGGACTGCTAACATGGATAAGAATAATAGAAGAGAATAAGTAATGGGTGTCTACTGTGACCCTATATGATCGATCTTACTGTGAATTTTGTAGTGTTACCAGAATTGCTTCAATTATTATTAATTAAAATGACGCTATTGACTACTATAAAAAATTATCAAGGTACTGTTGTACCAGAACACTCACATTTTTATCAAAGGGATACTATTTTTGTGAATTCATTCTACTCATTATCGCAGATAAAATTAATTGTTTACGCTTGACTTTGGTTTGTGAGCTTGGTTTTTGAATCTAGGTTTCATGATTTCTGATCACAAAGAAATGTCTTAACTTGTATTATATGTTATATATATTTATAAATATCTAAATATTTCCTTCATAAGCAGCACTTTGAGGACTTTGTTGCGGGGCATTTCCGTCAAAGGGGCGTGGACATACTGAAAGCATGTAAGTCATATGCTGAGGGGGGACCAGTTGGATCAGTTTTACATAATGCTGCTGCACCAAATAATCGTAGTATTAGTGCTTCTGGCAAGAACCAAAAAGAATTTCAGTCAACTGTGAGTAGGATGATGAACACCCTTGTTGCATTTTTCAGCAAAAATGGCTGCTCTAATTGCGAAGAGTATCGATCTCTAGAGATTTATAACCTATCTGCTGCTGCTACTGCTAACTTGGAAGTTTTCAAGATAGAATCTTCTGGCACAACAACATTAACCCAGGTCTGAATGAAGTTCCCAGGTTTTTTATGGTGTAAATCAAGAACTGTACTGGATATCTTTTTGTTGATGTCTCACACCTGGATGGTTCAGTTTTCCTCCTCTATATCTTTTTTTTTTTTAATTTTTATTTTAATTTTTATCTTGTATAGCTTTTCTAGAACTTTTTTTATGACATGAAACTCCATGTATAGGATTCGCTAATATGCATCTTATAATAATAGAATTTATATAGTTTCTGTTACTCACGATGGTATTAGTGTTTGGTGGCAGTAGCTTCATCCATTATTTTTGGTCAAATCCGTTATATTTGTTTGTTTTGTGACAAACAAGTCTTGATGTTTTTGTCAAAAGAAAAAGAGAAGTCTTTAATCTCAGCATTAGAAATTTTATAGACAAAAAAAAACTCAACCAATCCAATCCATTACGTGTCTAGTTAAATCACGCATTAATTTTTAAAATACTTTATGGCATGACAGAATGATAAAATTTTATTGGATGATGATAAACAATTTTATACTGTCCTTATAGTTTATGTTTATTATTTTATCATCTCTATTTTTCTTTTTACATAAATAGTTAAGAATATTATTGACTAATCAATAATTTTCATACAAATATGATAACTAAAAAAGAACCAATACAATAATATTTACTTTTAATTTGTTAATTAATTATTGATATTACTCATTTCACATTTTTAATGATTTGCTATAGATAGGGGTGGACATGTTGGGTAAACCCAAGTCCGGTGAAATCCATCCAAATCGATCTTAAAAAAATGGGTTGGGTGGGTTGGGTCAGATTATTGGGTGAACAAGGTTTTTAAAAATAAAAAATGAAAATGCTCATTCTACCTTTATATGAGTATACCACACTCTTGAAAATTCGATTTTGTTTTTCAAACATTCAGAAATACATCTTTGAACGCATATAAAACCACGACAATGCCCTCTACTCTGAGTATTATATTTGTTTTGAAAAAAAAACAATTCGGAGATGTATCTTCGCATTGTGTTTGGGTATATTCAGAGATGCATCTTCAAAATATGCCCTGCACTCATTTAAGTTGTGTTGTTATTCACGTAACTGATTTTGAAAACGATTTAGTGACATTTTCGGAGATGCGTCTCCAAAAATGTCTAGTGGAAAGATTGGTAAAACACCTCATGACCTTTCTCTTTATGCACTTTCATTCTTAATCATCTTTTCAACATCAAAATATTATTCTTGTATTTCATCACTTCAAAGGGAGTAAAACAAGCTGGAATGGCAGGTAAATATTATTCTTTTCATTCCTCATTGTTTGCATTAATCTATTGTTGAAGCTGAAAAATGATGTTGAGTTCGAAGATGCATCTCTGAAATAATTTATAGGTGGTCCGAAAGTGCATCTCCAGATTGCCCCGATATTCTGAATTTTCACACTATTTTTTTCTTCTGTTTTTGGTGATAATATAGATATGGTGCACCCAGACATGTCTCCCAAAATTATTGTGAATGTGGATGTTAAACCGATTGAAGTGAAGCATGATATTAAACCGGATAAAGTGAATGATGACGTTCAACTGGAAGAAGCAAATGATGATGTTAAATTGAATGCTCGATCGACCATTGTAGAGGTAGATATTCGTGCATAATTTACAAATAAAGAAGTGTTTTTTGTTCGTGAACATATGCTACAACGAGTCTGTAGGGAGGCCAAAAAATTGGAGACTACGTTGTAATTGGAAGGTTCGACAATGGTCCGGATAAAAGACAAACATTTGTAACAATGGTATGCGAAAGAAACTACGCATACCAAATAAAGATTAGGAAGTTGAAACAAGATGTCACGAGAACGGGGAAATGTGAGTGTCCGTTTAAATTGCACAAATATGTTTAGAAGTACAAAGTTTATGGTGATAAAGTCACGGTTCGAGATATACTTTGGAGCCATATCAATTCCTTAAAGTTGTTCAACACCTTTTACTTTGTGCTCATAATTGACTCAACATAAATCAAACATATCTATCATGACCGAATGGAAAGTGATCTAAGAGAGATTCATGAAAGATGATGACATCATGAAATTGTACATCAAAGAATAACTTAGGAAGATTGATATCTAGGAACAACAGATTAGAAACCACCGTCCAAACCAATTAAAATAAAAGCTGCCCCTAAAAAGGTAAAACTGACTCAAAGTGATAACTTCACGAGACAATCTCCTTCATATTTTTAGCATGTTGACTCACATTTTCTGAATTCTCCGTCTCCAACATCACAAATAAGTGTTTTCAAGGGTGCACGTATTATCAAACCATCTCCTCCACTGCCGTTACCAAAAATCCAATTCATTGGTGAGATTATGCTTTTTATGTACAAATACATCAAGCAGATTGTAAATGCTGATAGTGACAGTAACTATGAGTTTTGAGTTGTTTCAGGTTTACTCGATAAGAGAGAGGGACCACCAAATTGCCCGCCTTCATCCTATACAAGAGATGATGATGCATATGGAATCAAGCACAAAGCTATTGATGAATGCTTAATTCATGAAAAATATCACATTATTTCATTGCATTTATCTTACTTAAACAACAAGATTCTAACATAAAAACCTCAACTAATGAGCAAAAGTAGTATTGTGAAAGTTACCTTTGGTTTTGTTATCTTTTGTGCAGGCTTTGATCCTTAAAGCAAAAACCAATAATCAGACACTTCTCTAAGCGAGTCACAGTGAACTCCAGAGAAGTCAAGACAAAAAGATACAAAACCCAAAAGACAGAAACTTCGCTAAGCGAAGGTGCTGCAAAAGACCGTTTCGCTTAGTGAATCATAATTCACCTAGAGAAACCAAGACAGAAGTAAATCAACTAGTTTCTCCAGCAGTGAGGAGATGCGAAGCATTTTGCTTAGTGAACTGGGCCTTCGCATAGCGAAATAGGGCGATCAAATAAATATATTTTGAAAAGATTTAAAGTTGAGGAAAGAAACTTCACTAAGGGAGCCAAACTTCACTTTGCAAACTTTGGCGGTTTCCTGAAGACGGTTTGAAATGAAAACTTAGTGCAAAAGAAACAGAGACGTGGCTTAGCGAACTCAGGCGGCCATAACTGCTATAAAATGGACAGAACTCAGCTCAAGAGGCATTCAATTTTTATCACCTGTAATATCATAATACATCATCTTTAATAGTAGTAGAATAAGAATATATGAGGTTGTAAGAAGAAGGAGCTGAATTCACATCAAGAGTCGAGAAATCTTCGTTGATGTCATTTTAACTCAAATCTTTTATTGTTCATCAAGCTACCATGAGTAGCTAAATCCCTCTCTTGTTGGGATTAGTCGTAGTTCACCGAAACAATATGTATTTTCTTTGATCATGGCGTTTGTGATACAGTGGAAGAACTGACTTGGTGTTTTTCATTTTATCGCAATTTTTGCACATAGCAAGAGTCGTCACTGACTTTTCTTTTATCCAATAAAGGAAAGGGTGAAAAGAACAGGAAATACCTTTCGAGAATTTTCTTGAGTTCAGGGGGTAGGTTATGAAAAGGGAAGGTGTTAGCACCATTTTCATCCATAATTATCTACAGACTCTTAATTGCTTGATCACTTTGAAATGCTTTGTATTTGTGTAAGTTTGAAAATATTTTGAAAACACCTAAGTTTAGAAAACTTTGCAATGATTCTTGTATCGTTGAGAATGTATACAAAGTGTTGGTTTTGAAAATATTTGTTGAAAGGAAGTGTTTTGGAAAGATGTTTGAAAATGCCAATGTAAGGCCATTTTGTAATGATTCTCGTATTGTTGAGAATGTATACAAAATGTTTGTTTGAAAAGTGTTTTTGAAAGTGTGAGCTGTAAGTGGTTTTGTTTGTGAGCAAACAATTACGAGCAATCTACCTACTCAAAAAGTCTTTGTTATTTTCCTCCTCCTTTAGATAATGCTTATCTTCCATTGATTGATAGAGAGCCTTATCATTAGATGTGAAGGGACCGGCGTGGGTCATTGTATAGTCATAGAAGGCAACTTGTAAGATGTTTTAGAAATTGTCATAAGGGATTAAGATCATTTACCGAAGGCAACATTGAAGGGTCATCGAGGGACTATGAACTTTTAATCGAGGATCTTTGCTAAAATCATCTCACGTTCGAGGGACATGACTGTTTTCATCTGAGGCAACAAGTGTGGGTTACCCTAGAGGTGCAAGTGTGCAAGGTGTGTTTATTTCAAATATATTATCTTGAATTAGGGTTTTTAATGTTTGATTTTAGTCTTTCCATACAAACCCTAATTACTAACAATAATATGGAAAGCGATAAGTTGCGGAATTTAAATGCTCTAGGCTATTACAATACTTTTAGGGACGAGGGATACAAATTAACAAATAAGGAATATAAAGCAATAAAGCCCTAATTACTATTACAAACCATGTACATGAATAATAATGCGAAATAATAAAATGTGCGAGAATAATGTAAAGAGAAAAGAATTTGTTTTTGTGGTTTTTTGATGAAAAATGTTTTAATTAACCTAATTAACTAATTAATTTACAAGAGAAGTTAATTAATTATTTAACAAAACCTAAAGTCTAATTTAATTAAAAAAATTATATAAACCCCAAGTCTAATTATTTTTAATTCTAAAAGATTAATTAGTTAAGAAAATATTTTTAGTGTTCTATTTATAAAAATAAATAAAATAAAATTAGAAAGTTTTTAGTCTATTTATTTAAAAAATATATTTTGTATTTTTATAAAATAAATAAAGAAAAAACTATAAAAATATAAAGGAAATAAAAAATGGGGCCTGAGTGTTCAAAAAGTGAAATGGGGGTATGGAGAAATATTTTTGGTTCTAGGCCCAAAAGAGTTTTTGTTTGGTTTTAAATCAAAAATAAAAAAGATAATGGGTCAGGTAGTATGAAGCAATCAGGGAGGTGAGGGAAAAAAAGGTTAAGGCCCAAATGCTGGAGGCCCAACATGCTTAGAAACAAAAACGAACCAAAAAAATGTGTGA